ATAGTATGTTTCCACCTGTACACCTGAACTATACGTGTATTTATATATGTGTATATGTATATGAACGAATTACTTTGAATATATATATGTGTGTGTCTGTGTCTATGTGTTTTTCCAAAGTACCTCGAAAGAGATAATTTAACGAGAACGATTGTAGTAGCATTTTCGTAAGAACGATATCTTATTCAGAAAATAATTTGATGTCTTACAAATTTTCGAGTTTTCTTTTAATTTAGTTTATTGTTTTATTTATTTATTTATTAAACTAGGGCAAATGATGATTTGATGATTTTATACATTTCTTATAGAGAAATATGCGATACCTTGTATAGATATTTGTTTTGTTTTTTGTTTGTTTTTTCATTTTTTTTTGTTTACATATCTTTCCTCTAGAGAAAACATAAAAAAGAACTGGTTCGCGAGTAGAGTTATCATCCCTCTCCTCTCCTCTCCTCTCCTCTCCTCTCTCTCTCTCTTTCTCTCTGTAAGAGTTAAACTTAAAACTAAATATTACTACTACTACTACTATTACTATTATTATTATTACTACTACCAACATAGAAAGCTACCGATCGTCCGAGTTACGTGATTTATGATCGGCAATAGAAAAAGGAATCAATTTTTCTTTTTGTTTACCGAAATAAAATACTCTTTTTATTACCAGAACTCGGCGCGTTCCCAATCGCAAATATTTACACGATGAAGGGGATGAACGGGGAAAGAAGGATAAGGATGAGGATGAAGTCACAGGGATTATATACCTTTGGAATAAGAGTAACGACAGAATGCTGCTATTCTCTTCCTTTCTTGTTATTTTTTCTCTTTTGTTAAAATAATCGATGAAAGTGTTATTAGTCGTTGTCGTTGACGTAATAAAAACAGTCGCTAAGTGTTCGTGTTAGAAAAAAGTAGAAATAAATTTATATCGATAGTTTATGATGATAGTTCAAATAATAATGATTGATTTGTTATTATGTACATTTTAATACAGTATAATAATCTGTGTCATCAAATTCATATCGTTAGGGGTGAATTCAGGGAAAAACGTGATGATATTTTGTAAAGAAAAAAAAAAAAAACAAAATAATGTAATACCTTTGCAGTAACCTAAGTGGATTTTTATTTATTGAAAAATAATTGTAACGCATTATATATTATTATTATTATTATTTTTTTTTTTATCAAGAAATGAGAATTTTTCGTTTGAGTTGTCTTTTCATCGATAAAAAAAAATCTGCCCCTATATATATTTTTAATTACAGTCAGACACGTATCAGTAATCCTGGCAATTAGTTTTTCAAGCGTTTTTAATTAAATATTTTTCTGCGCTTTTTTTTCTCTGAATGTTTTTATAGTTTGAATAAACATTCGGTTTATTTGTAACATTAAATTTCAAAATCACGTGTAAAAATTATAAGAAAATCTTATGAACATAGGATTTTGAAAAAAAAGTCGTTCAATGTGTTAATATTTAATGTAACAATAATAAATCATTTGACAATTCATCGATTTGTTCGATTTTTATGGAAATCAGCGAATAGTAGATATACGTCGACAGTAAACCAAAGTTTTCGGTTTGGTGTAATGACAGAAAGAGAGAGAGATAGAGAGAGAGAGAGAAAAAGATAATAACGAGAATGAAATTTCACGTTTTCTCTTCAGCCTAGCATTTTGATGAAGTCTTCATGTCCAATGTTTCATTCAACCTCTAGGATCTCTCCCTTTTCTTAGCTATCTTATGAAGGATCAGACTAGTCTTTCGTAGAGCAACTCTCACCGACCTCAAATATAATCCAGCTTGCACCGGGCTCGACCAAAACCACCACCAGTTTTCCCTCTGATGAAGCTGTTACCAAAGTTATCTTCATTGTTAATACCTCGACGTGATCTTCTTTCTCACAATCGTAATTAACTTTGTTTTTCTTTTATTATTACTAAATTATCTTTAACAAATACCCATTACAGATTATAATACGTGTGACATTGTTTTTGTATATCCAAACAAATTATTTGTATCTTTTTTTATACCTTTTTTTGTCGTTTTTTTCTCTCTCTTTACTTTTGTCATTTTCTTTTCCTCTAATCTCGAGATCATGTTATAAATAAAAATAAATTAAATAAATCTAGATAAAATACATCATATTAGTAATATAAAAAGGAACAATACCATCAAATAATATTCTTATTACATTTTATTGAGATTTCGAGTTTTTTTTATAGTGAATGATAATTTTTTATTTGACACGACGGAGTATTCACGTTACACAGTAAAATATCTTCTTTAGATCAAATTAATTTATATATATATATTATATTTTCTTTATATTTATTTGTTGATTAGTACAGTCTCACTATTTATTTCACTTGTAGATATTTCACGTTTACTTTGATCACGACTTGGCTTCAATTCTGAAAACTATGAATGCAGTTACAGAGGTGTGTTTATATGTATTTCAAAAAGATTTTATAGACTACGTACAATTTCGAGATAGAGTTTCGACTTGCTGACCCTCTTCTTATATGTCTTGTCAGTTTCTCAATTTTCTACAAGAGATTACTTCCTCTAACTTTCTTGAAAGATACAATCAACATATATATTATATATTATATATATATATAATATTCGAGCATCGTGAACCGTGCAAACTTTTCTTCTAACGATACCCTCGAGGAGTTTAGGAAAAAGATTGTAAGACAAGGTATTCGTTAATGCGAAGAACTCTCATGCAATGTTTTCAACAAGAATGAAAGGTTTTCCCACTTTTCCATGCCACTGGCATCGTTTTCGGTTCAACCCTCGGCCAGGACAACGCTATTGATTTTTCGTTTAAGTGCTATCCCAAAAAATTCGTTTATTTTTAAATATCCTTCGAATCATATCTTTTACAATAAAGAGTTATAGAAAGAAAGGAAAAATAGAAGAGAAAGAGAGAGAGAGGGAGAGAGAGAGATAGATGAGATTATTGACAGTATGTTGTTTTATTTCTCTTTTTTACTATTTTCATTTATGATCATTGAACGAATGAACGTATATTGTTTTTATTCGCATCGATGCATTTTTCTTCGGTAATGATTTTTTT